GTTCTACATAAAACAAGAAAGTGGTATCGGTCCTTTTTCTACCACTTTGTGGACATCGCTGTAGTAAATGCCTTCATTTTGCACCAGCAGATGGCCAGGATGAAGAACCAGAAGCCTTTGACCCAGAAGGCCTTCCGGGAGGCTCTTGTTAGAGAGCTCGCAGGAACGGGCCCTGAATATGCCCCTGACCGAATGGCACCGGCTCGTTCTACTGGCTCCCACCTGGCCAAGTACCTCAGTGGAGACAGCACATTAGGAAGGCAGAGATGCAAACTATGTCAAAACAAAACTCCAGTCAAGTGTGCGACTTGTCAGGTGGCTTTGTGCTTTGTTCCGAAGCGGGACTGTTACAATAAATGGCATAAATCTGGTCTCTCTGATGAGTCTGACTCAGAGTAAAACTTAAAGAGCAAACTGTCCAAACTGCCAACCAAAACAAAACAAGGTATGAAAGCATTATCAAACCCCAGAAATAGAAAGAAATGCAACATGAAACTAGCAAGGCGTTGACAATGACTCATGGCATTTGAGGCTTGTGAATTCTGATAAACTGGAAATATCATAGAAAAGAATATTAAACTTTTAGTAGAAATGGACCACACTCAGGGTTTGTGTGGCGAATGAATGAAGGTGGCGAAGCGGTTGTTCAGGGACTTGAATCTGGTCTTTCTCTTTAGTGCGCACTAAAGAGAACTGATGCGTTTGGGGTCGATCTCCAGGTTGAGAGGCGCTAGAAGGCTCTTGTTGACGGAGACACTGGCCATTGGAGGCCCCAAATATGCCGAGCTGGTGCTGAAACTTGGAGCAGATGCTCCCAGTGAGATCCCACTTAAACTTCTGTAGCCGAAACCTCCCATCCTCACGGAGCTGCTGGAACTGATGCGTTTGTTTCTCAGACTCATCGTTGGGTAGTGACGAGAGAAGCTGAACTGATGTTTCAGATGAGAACAGCTGGGCAGACCTGAGCACGACGGGTGTCTCTCTCTGTGTGGAGAGGCTGGGCTTTTAAAGTCCAACCAGGATGGGGTGGAGAGTTCCTATGGTGGGAAAACCTGTTTCAGATTGGACACACTGTTGGCTTTATCTGAGCTCCCGGATTGGCAGTGAACACACACACTCTCAGTTTCTTTTTCTTACTGTCACCGTTCTCATATAGCATCTAAATGTTTAATGTGGCCCATGTCAACAACATTCCCGAAGTAACTACATGCCCTAATAAACGCATTCTCCAAAAAAGCAGTCCTAATTTCATTTATTTCATGTATGCGTTTTATTAAAACTGTTTCATATTTAACCAGAAATCATGAACTTGTGTGCATAAGTTTCAGAAAGATGACAACTAGGGATTAGTCACGATCTTTGAATAGTCGAAATGCGTGTGAAATTCGATCATAAATAGCTTTTTCGAATATCGTTATATTTTTGCGCAATTCCAATGTGTTCTACATGATTGACGCCGCGCCTACTGTCACAGATCGCGCATCAGGGTATTTTCATTCGGGGACACAAGGTGTTGCCAACATGAATGAAACCCCCTACTGTGCAATCTAGGCTACCTGCGTTTGTATAGTGTAAACCAACAACAGAAGAAGAGCATTGTCGTGACTGTTAACTCCGCGACCAACCATGCAACAACCAAGAAGCTCCGTGTGGGTCTAGTTTAAAGGGGTCATATAATGCCATTTTTGTACAAGCTAGTATGATTCTTTAGGGTCTAAATTAAAAGTTTGTAATATACTTTAATTAAAAATTCTCATTAGTATGGTAAGAAAACACTTATTTTACTTGGTCAAAAACAGCTCTGTTTTCAGCACGCCGTTTCAGTGCATATGACTTTAAATGATAATGAGCTTTGCTCACCCCGCCTCTCTGTTCTGTGTACACCGTTTGTAACACAATAACCATAACGCATTGTTCAGTATAAACGTGGGATTATGCATTATATTGAGAACGTCATACATAGAAAACATGCCGTAATGTACCCTGAGTGTAAACCTTAGACGTATTCATTGTGAAGCGTGCAGCTAGCGATTTGCAAAGATTAATATAAATATTAATATAAAGTTTAATAAAACGTTACACTCACTTCAGTTGTTCTAGAGGTTCAGCAGGAACACGAATAGCTGGTACCGATCCTTTTTTCATGAGCAGCTTCTTAGCAAAACCAGCTAAGCCGGGAGCTCAAAAGCCGGGAGCTCAGATCCTCGTTTATAAAGCAGTCTGCTGAGAAATGATTCGCGCAAACATGAGAGCATTGACGTTGCTCGTGGGGAATATTCTCTTCGAAAACAAACTCAGCCACTGCGTCTTCAGCGGTTCGGATTTAGGAACATTAAAATGACTGCTGTGTTCGTTATTACACCCAAGAACAGAACACCACAATCGCTTAGAAGCCTTTCTGCTCATAGACAGTGCTCCAGCATATCAACAATGACCGCGCCAGTCCGCGCAGACTATGATTGACAGCTCGCTCACGAGCGAGGGCGGGTCTGTGTTGAAACGATGCTGTCAATCAACAATCGTGGGAGGGGCGTGCTAGCTTGTGACGTCACACGGTCGAACGGCTCAATTTGAGGCAGGGGAAAACATAAGGAGATTAAAACAAAAACACTGGATGGATTTTTATCATTTTATGATGGTTGTGTACAGGCACTGCCAACATACATTTCAGTACAATCAACTTGTAAAAGTGCATGTACCATTATATGACCCCTTTAAAAAAAGTGAACAATGATAAAGTTGAGTGTAAATTATGCCAATCCAAGCTGGCATACCACCACTCTACAAGAATGATGCATAGCCACCTGAGATCAAAGCACCCGGCAGCAGCTTCATCCTCCTCAGGCAGCACCCAGCAGTCAATGGCTAGTTTCTTGGGTAGACGTAATTGGATGCTAGGCGCAGTGAGCAGATCACTATGCTAATTACTAAGATGATAGCTAAGGATATGCTCCCTGTCAGCTTTGTTGAAGGAGAAGGTTTCCGGGAGCAAACGGACTGTCGTGCTTATTGTTTTTTCATTTTTTTTTTTTCAATTAGCCTACTGTAGGCCTATTATGTAAAAATAAAACAATGAGAACATGTTACTTGTTCAATTAATAAACTGTTTGTTTGATAACAAATCGCTAAAGATGAAAGTGGCCTCCCTTTCTGTCATTGTGAGAATGTGCGGGTTTTTTTTTTCCAGATTTTCAAACAATATTTGACTTTTGCTTCTCGATAGTCGAATGGCATTTTTGGCAGAAATTCACATCCCTAATGACAACTATTGAGAAAACAGCATGCTTTTATGATTTGCTTAAGCAAAATATGTTAATATAGAGCTCAGAGTAACATCAAGCTTTTTTGTGCATTTTAAATAGCAAGAGCAATGAATTTCTATGCGAGCAAAACTATGTTCTTCGCTCCAGCAGTCAAACTAAGATATGTTGAGCGCTCCACCTACTGGTAAGACATTTGACCTGCTTTGTTGTAAATTGTTTGAAAACTGTGATAGATGCTGTGCTCTCCTTATTGTTTTGACACACAGATATTTGAATCTCATTGTCAAAACAATGTTGTTATTTATGGCTTTAAATGCTGTAAATGATCATATTAACATTTAGCTGTCAAATGTGCCTCTGGTGTCAGATGCTATTGCATTTTGTTTCATTTTGCTAAGAAATTCCACCTGAAATACACATTTACTTTTTTTAGAAAGACATTTGGTAATTTTTCATTTAATAACTGTTGCCATTTTCTATTTATGTATATTATGCTAACAAAACCATGCTATTCTTTCCTCAAACACTAGTTTAGTTTAAGACATGTTGAGCGCTCCATCTACTGGTAAGCTTTTTGTTTGCTTTATTTGAATGCTTTGCTCTCCACAATGTTCTGCCACAGATATTTGAGGTCAATTGTTAAAACAATGCAATGTTGAATGTGGTTATATGGTTTTAAATGTTATACATCGTCATATTAACATTTAACTGGTTAACCCTCTATGGTGCGCAGTATGATATCAATGAGGAAAAATATGTGTGGTGTTTTTCCTGCTTAAAACTGAACACTAACAATATCAATAAACATTTTCATAATTTTTTAATTAATTTTTTTTTTTTTTTTTTTTTGTTGCTTCAGGGCAACATTTTTCCACAACTAACTCTTTTCCTTGCAAAAAGTATGCCTGGAATGCCCTTATTATGGTACAATTTTGCCTTGAGGCAACACAGTTTTTTCTGTTATGCCCTCTAAAACATTTGATGATATATAATGTAAAGTTCTTGAAAATACTTCTTTACTTAGTAGTGAAGGTGACTTGTATTTTTTATGTGGGTGATTACCTGGATGCAGATAAGTGAAAAATGCACTTTTCATCTGAGCAAATATGGAGCCATGTGCTGAAACAGCCACAAAATGGACCCCTGTAAGTCATGTGACCACTTTTTTGCACTTTCATTGATTAGTATTTGAGTTCTTCTCCCCTGAGATTTGGGTGTCTCACTTTATTCAAAATAAACTAAAATAGACCATGTTCCCTGGAGGAATCACTGCACCACAGTGGGTTAAATTAAAAGGCATGTTGAGTCTTCTTTTAGTTGTAGCTTTTTTTTTTCTTAAACTATTATTGCTTATCGTTGTAGTGCGTCTGTCGCTCAAATTTAAATTAAATCCATCTTTAACAATGCCATTATTGTTTGTTCGTTGCACCCCGCCGCCACTATCTCTTGACGCCTATGCTTGAGAGGACCACCCACTGACTAGTTTTTAAGTTTAATCTAGCTAATTATAATGACTATAGGACTGATAACCCTCATAGGTGTTGCGTATAAGGGGAGGGACACTTTTCGTCTAAGTTCCCGCTGTCTGGCGTTTGACCAATGATAAACCAGCATATTAAGACGGACAAGTAAAGTAGCCAATGAGAGCGCGGTTACTCTCTCCGCGCGACCGTGTTTTTCTGCAGGAGATTTATTTTTCTGCTGCTGAATTGCGTTTTGCGGTCCGTGTTTATGAGAATGGATGTAACCACTAAGGACGAGTGTGTAAACGGTATCAAGGAGGAATATGACGATACAGTTGAAAATGGCGAATCGTCCGGTAATGACAACAATCTTGACGAGACGATTGAATTGGGAGATTCTTCTGCCGAAAGTGACGCTTCCAGCGTGGACTCCAAAGAAGAGTTGCTCGATAACCTGGATCTCGTGTTGGACCAGTAAGTTTACACACTTTTTGAATTGGAGATTTTTATATGCTATATATATATACTTTATATACAATCAAATTTAAGACAATTTTCAAATCATTTGATTGGAGCTAAATAATATGGCTTGAGGGGCAGATTATATGAACATTTAACTCTTTAATGACCACCACCTATACGTTTCAATTATTCCAAACCAGTGATGGACGAGATATGTCTGAATTAGTGAAAGAAAAAAAGAATAAACAATTGAAATAAATGTATTTTTAATTTGTATTAAATCACTTTATGTAGTGCCTAGACATTATGATACCCTCATTCCTCATAGACTGCAGTGCATTTTTTCTATTGCATGTATAGAGTATGATATTTACCTATGTTGTTAATGTTGAAGCTTTAAGGTACATGTTTTACGTTTGTACTCAAAGATTATAATTTTCAGTATTAAAACATTAACTTTATTACAGCTCTTTATTTTGTATTTCTTTTGGGAATTTTAATAGATGCCTCACTGTGGCATAATGGAGTATGATCTTTAAACACGAATATAGTTAATGTTAAAGACTTTCTTTAGCAATAGGTATAAAACTAAATACAAAATAATACCTATTAAAGTTTCATTTTATTGGGTATTTTTTCAGTTGTAAATGTGGCATGTTGTATTCTTGCCTGATGCAACAGGTTTTCAGATCCTGATGATGATGACGGTTATGATGATGGTGATGATGCTGACTGGAATCCAGAAGTCACTCCACGAAAGAAGAAGAGAACCGGTCTGTCTTCAGTCTCACCATCTCCAGCAACGTCTAGCAGAACTGCTTCTCCTGCTTCTGTACAAAGTAAGAAAGGGAAAGGTAGGAAAAGCAGTGTGAGTCGATCCCTACCTTTTTCCATCTCAGAACACAAGTGGAAAAGTGCAGATGAGCCTGATATTGAGCCGACTCAGCCAATCTTTAGACCTAGACTAACACCCGGCGTACAGTTGGTCTCCAATGCATCATGCAGTCCTCTACAGTATTTTGAGTTGTTCTTTTCCAAATCTGTCATGCGGACAATTCTAGAAAACTCTAATGCTTACGGGGCCATGCGTCATAAAGGAAAGGAGAAGCCATGGCAGGACATTTCTGTAAAAGACTTCAAAACATTTCTAGCACTGGTGATTTACATGGGTTTGCTGAAATGCTTCACACTGACGGATTATTGGAGAAAGTCAGACATCTACAGTCTTCCATATCCTGCACAAATCATGTCTGGTAGAACATTTCTTCGCATATGTGCGGCTCTCCATCTTAGTGACCACAAAGTGGATGCAGAGAATGATGCAAAGAAGGGAACGCCTGAATATGACCGCCTGTGTAGGATCAAACCGCTGTACCAGGACATTAGGGACGCATGCAGATCCTCTTTTCATCCCTTTCAGAACATCTCTATTGATGAAAGAATGGTGGCATCAAAAGCTAGACATGGTCTCAAACAGTATATGAAAAACAAACCTACAAAATGGGGGTACAAACTCTTCGTACTGGCAGATTCACTCTGTGGCTACACATGGGACTTCTTCATTTATGAGGGAAAAATGAATGTAGAGCAGAGCAAAGGCATTAGTTATGATTCAGTCATGAGCTTGGCAAATGCAAGGTTGTTGGGTGCTGGCTACAAGCTGTTTGTTGACAACTTTTACACCAGTCCCAAGCTCTTCAGAGACTTGCTCGCTAAGAAGATCTGGGCTTGTGGCACCGTTCGAGCGAACCGCATTGGCCACTCAAAGAAACTGGCTCCTCGTGGCAATATCCGCTGGTTTCGGGAAGACGACCTGCTGTTTGTTGAGTGGAAGGACAAGAGGGATGTGCTGATGTGCTCCACCTTTCATAAAGCCTTTAATGGAGACACCATAAAGAGGAATGTGAAAGGAGCCGATGGAGTTTGGGCCATTCAAGATTTCCCCGTTCCACCTGCCGTGTTGGACTACAACAAGTTAGTAGACTTTAATCAGTGGTAGTTGTGCCTTTTAAATTACATGTCTTTTAATACATTTTACTGTCATTCCAGGCACATGGGAGGAGTGGATCTGTCTGACGCGCTTATCGGATATTACACCGTTCTACATAAAACAAGAAAGTGGTATCGGTCCTTTTTCTACCACTTTGTGGACATCGCTGTAGTAAATGCCTTCATTTTGCACCAGCAGATGGCCAGGATGAAGAACCAGAAGCCTTTGACCCAGAAGGCCTTCCGGGAGGCTCTTGTTAGAGAGCTCGCAGGAACGGGCCCTGAATATACCTCTGACCGAACAGAACCGGCTCATTCTACTGACTCCCACCTGCCTAAGTACATCAGAGGACACAGCACTTTAGGAAGGCGGAAATGCAAAATGTGTACCCACAAAACTCCAGTCATGTGTGAAACTTGTCAGGTGCATTTGTGCTTTGTTCCGAATCGCGACTGTTACAGTAAATGGCATAAATCTGGTCCCTCTGATGAGTCTGACTCAGAGTAAAACTTAAAGAGCAGTTCATTTGTAGACAAGTCCAGGTAACACTTTATATTAAGTGGCTTTAAGTATGTACTTATATTAAAAATACCAGTATGTACTTACAGCTGTAATTCATTTATGTAATTACATTTGTAATTACACAGTTGACCCTTTCCTTACACCTTATCCCACCCTTATACCTACCCATACCACCACACCAGTACCTAACCTCACCCGTTTCACATCTCAATAGCAGCAAAAGTGTTTTACAGTACAACATGAACACAATAAGTACATTGTGCATAGTACTTAAAGCCACTTAATATAAAGTGGGACCCAAGTCCAAACTGCCAACCTAAACAAATCATTATCAAACTCTGGAAATAGAAAGAAATGCAACATGAAACTAGCAAGCCGTTGACAATGACTAATGGCATTTGAGGCTTGTATATTTTGATAAACTGGAAATATCATAGAAAAGACCTTAAACTTGTAGTAGTAGGTGTAGTAAGTAGATGTAATTGAAATTTGACACTTTCTTTTTCTCACAGTTTTATTCTGTTGCACTGGAACTATTTTTAGGGCTTTTCGTCCGTCCGATGTTTTACCATTGCAGAATTGTGCCATTTAGTACCGATCCAGATTTATTGACACAGTTATGGTTTCTTTGTTCATTGTGGTGCTGCTAAATCAGGATTAGAATGTATATGGGCAGTTGTGAGCGAATAAATCCAATCTACCATTGTGGTTCTCCTGTCCTAAACACTGTTAATTCACTTGCATTTTATAATTGTATCAAAATGTGTTCTCATTGAAATGCTATTACCTGCTGTAGTCTGATCTATTGGACCTGAATGTGGGAAAAGTGCTTAATATTAGTATTAAAACTGTAGGCATTCATAATACATTTTATATCCTTGTGTATCATATTCTAAAGTAGTCTGGTTTGAGTGACATCTGTGCTTTTTGTAAATTGTCGAATGTCATCAAACACGTTTATTATTGAGTGCCCTTTCAGAATCACTTTTTGGAGATGAAATTAGGCGTAGTTTGTTGAAAAATATTGTTACAAAGTCAGAAATGATCAATCATTAAAAATAAAGCCTTTTAAAAACTCTTTTTAAATGACTGAATTTTTTAAAGGTGGGACGGCTATTAAAATATATATTTTTTAAAGTGATATAATGTTACACATTTGCTGGGATCATACATCTTTTAACTTTGTGAACAGGGATCAGCACCATGTCTTTCAACATTGGCTTAAATTTTTCCTGTGACCGAAATAAGTTATTTTTAATCGCACAATTATAAGATACAACATACAAACGTATAGCCTTAGAATAGTTATTATGAATATTCTATTTTTTCCCCATAGTTGAGAGACTTTCCTACTAGTTTAGATAGGTTTTGCTATTCTTCTATAGCATGTTCATTCAAAAAGTCCTGACATGAATCGAAAAACATTCCTTCGGGAAATAAAAAATAATTGCGCTTTATTTCAAAATATCCAATCAGGACGACCAATCCCGGTGACAAGAATAACAGCGAATAGAAGTGCGATCTCGGTGGTTAACGGGTTAATTTCATTCCGCAACAAATCCTCCCTGATCTGGTAACTCCTATTACCGTCTGCAGAGACCTCTATTTGCAAATCACCGCATCGTGTTTTTGCTCCACGTGCTGGAGAGATTTGCCGTACTATCTGCGACTTTAACTCAGCACTGCATTTAGAGATGGATGCATGCAATAAGGAGAAGGTTGACAGTGTGCTGGACAGCTCGGAGGAATGTGTTAACAGCGATGAAGAACAAGTCGAGACAGAGGAATGGGATTCTTCATCTGATAAAGAAAGTGTCGCTTCTGGCGTGGACTCTGCAGTAGAGGAGATATCCCTCGATTGTTTAGATACCGTTCTGGACGAGTAAGTTCATATTTCCATGAACGTCATTATTATACGAAAATAACCTCTGCTTTTGCATGTCAACATCACAAATGTATCAATGAATGAATGAGAAGTTATTGGAGCCGATTTATTTTAAAGTAGCCCATTAATGTAGGCTACACTGTTTAGCCTCGTCTTGCGTGCAACACATTTTCCCCTGGGCTCTAACTGAGAAACAGATTTACTTGTCAATTGATCCAATATTAACAGTTTTCTTTGAATTCATATCATTTTAAAAGCACCAGTGGTGGTAAGTAATGAAGTAAAAATACTTTGTTACTTTACTTAAGTATTTTTTTTCGGGGATCTGTGCTTTGCTTGAGTATGTTTTATTTGCATCTACTTTCACTTTTACTCCACTACAATTTTAAAGACAAAGTTTAGTTTTTACTCCGACACATTTCCCCATGACCGCTCCAAGTAGCCTATTTATTACACTGGCTTTCCAAACCAATGAAAAACTTGTTTTTCTTTTGAAAAAAAGAACGCGCAAGCTTGCCAGCATATGCTCAGAGTCAGTTCGCAATTGACCGCAGAAACCGGTGTTGTGCCGAATTTCGACCCCCGCCAAATTGTTACCCCCTAGCATTGGTAGGTTTAGGGTTAGTTGTGGGGGAGGGGGAGGATTAGGGACGGGGTTGGGATTAGGCAATCAGGTACTGACTTCAACTAGGGGGGTAATAATTTGGCAGGGGCCTGGGGGTCGAAATTAGGCACAACACCTGTGAAGGTGCAGCTCTCGCTGCCAGCAATGATCCCAAGATTTCCGACAGGGATCACTCATGGCCATATATCAATGATATGTTCGAATTCACTGAAGTCATGGGCAAGATTAATATCGGCTGAAATGTCTTCTTTGCCTGCCACGGGTGAATTAAATTTCAGCATTCAAAACTTCACCCTCAAATCTGAGAAAACATATTGAGGTGAGTTGACGTTAAAGCAACACTAAAGAAGATTTTTTACCTTAAAATAATGTTTCCAAAATCGTCTCAGCAGTTCATCAAGTCGTAACAGGCTGAAAGGCACTTCTGCCTTCGCTTTGTGGTCCAAGTTTGCCAGATCTGGTCGCGTTTCTGTAGTTCGAATGAGACATAAGAAAACTACAAATTTGACTTGCTTTACGGCAGTCGTTACAATTGGACATCATTCACTCTAAAGCCGGTGCTGGATAAACAGTGGATAAACAGCGAGCATGCGTGCGACAGTAGGCTGCGGTAGGCTAAATTATTTACGACAGCGGTAACGGACAATGCCGCTTCTAACCTGTAGGGCGACCGCAGAGGAAAAGTTCTTTAGTGTTGCTTTAATGTTACTATTGAAGTGATATTGAAATGTGCCTTGTCAACTAGCTAACAAATTCTTAATTGCAGTATCTAATCTTATAATTTGTTAAAATAAAACATTGCATATCACTCCCAAAAAAATTGATCTGCTTAATTATTGATATTTACAGTTAATTTGAATATTTACTTTTTACTTTCGGTACTTACTGTAAGTACGTTTTAAATCGGATACTTTTGTACTTTTACTCAAGTGATGTTTGAATGGAGGAGTTTCTACTTTTACTGGAGTAATTTTGTATTTAGGTATAGCCTATATAATTTTACTCGAGTATAACTTTTGAGTACTTTTACCACCCCTGAAAAGCACCATAGGCTACTTTAAATTGCACTTATACTTGACGATATGTTTTTGAAAGTGGACTCCAAGCTTTTTTTCAGTTCATTTTAGTTGTGACAAGGTCTCAAGCCTTAACTTATGTTTTGTAACTGTCCAATTTTGTTTATTAATAATAATATTGATTACTGAAATTGTATTATGCAATATTAATGTATTTTGTTTTAATATTATTTTTCATTTTCACGCTGCTTTACTTAGAAATAAATTAGAAATAATTTATGTGAATAAAGTCGCGGGTTTAACTGGATTGCAGGATTGCAGATCCAGTTAAACCCGCGACTTTATTCACATAAATTATTTCTAATTTCCGCGTCTGTTTGGGTGAAGGTGTTGTTGTTGTTTTTCCTTCTTTTCTTCGGTCCCGTTTTGAAACGGTGTCAATACAGTACATTTGCACAAACCTGTTTAAACATGATTACAACTGTGTGAATATTGTGTGAACGTTTTGTTTTTATACATCACGGAATCAGAAAAAGAAAAGAAGAGCGCGTTTGTGTGGATCGAGATACGCCGTGCTTTGTTGGAAAACGTTCTTCCTATCCGTGCTGGACCCCCAACAACACAGATCAATAGACCTTATTCACAGCAGCTCCATCTTTGATTTCCAATGGAAATGAAAGCGAGGCTGTGAGGGGTTAACTCCATGTCAAGTCTGTTCATTACCGTACGTTCACACCGCCGCCGACGAGAGCGACAAAATTCACTCTCGCCGCCCTGTCAGCGACGCCGTGGAAAGATTCGTGGGCGCTCGATGCTCTGACGTAGATCGAATGCTTGGTCTTTTTTAAAACTTTATTTAAAGGGGCCGCAAAGCAAAAAGCATGTCGATAGTTATTTTTACTTCATCTGGAAAGCATCTGCTGTTTACTAACATCTGATAGACATCTTTAAGATGTCAGTTTAACATACATTCTAAATCATTACATCTTAAAGACATCTTCTAAACGTCTATTTGACATCTAACAGGAAACGTCCTATAGACGTATTGCAGATGAGCAAACAGTCTAAATAATACGTCTTCCAGATGTAAACACGCACATCAAATAGACGTCTCCGTGATGTACGTGTGCTATCAGGGTTTGCATTCGCGCTGAAAAACAAGCGTTCTAGCGCGAATATCTTGCCCATAAACAGTGTTGCGCGCCTTCTTATGAAATTCAACTGATCAACCTCTCCTCTATTTTGCTTGGGAACTTATGTGGTCGGAACCAAAGTTACTTGACTGCGTTCTCTGGAATCCTCTCAAACGGAGCACTTCTACATTCCGATTGGTTGCCGCCGAACCGCCTCATAGCTCATTTCCCTAAAGTTGAGCTGATTTCAACTTCTTCTCGCCGCTCTCACCGTCCAAGACGCGCCGCGCCACCCTCGCCGGAGCTCGCCGCCGGCTCTCATTGAAAATTAATGACTTCCGGCCACTTTGACGCACTCGCCGCCGGTGGTGTGAATGCACATAGGCGCCCATATTTGCAACGCCTCCGGGCAGTTATTTCGGGCATCCAAGACCAAGCCCTATTTGAATGGGGGAATCCATACATTTTTAAAACTGCTTGCCGAATTCAAAATTAAATAACATATTTCAAAGCAGCAACAAAATCTGACATGATCTGTTCCATAAATGTTGTTTCTTATTCTCAAATAGCATGAAAAATGGCTATACCAAGCCAATGCACATACATTCCTAAGCCCGAGTCTCAGGTTTCTATGGGAACCACGAACCAGAGCTTCTAACGGCAGTTGCAGTGACACCACGACTTTGCCGATCAGCGATTGGCTCTTTTACTTGGAAGGCGGGATGTATTCCGTCATTTTTGCGAGTTGTAGTTTCTCCCATTCATAAATAATACGAGGGAACCGTCTTTCTATTCTTTGCTTGTACTGTTCTTTTTTTTTTTTTGATTGTTCTGCTGACAAAACACTGCAAAAATATTTTTGCAAGAAATTTCA